GATATTGAACTCACTCTTTAGGTCAAGTCACTGGATCCCACCAACACTTTTATCCACAGGCCACAGAAATTTTTTTGGCCTAGCATATGTTCTGGCCAAAATCTTTTTATTTCCCTTTCATTATTTTCATTTTTCAAAGCTCTGCTCAAATAAGTGGTTGAATCAAACAATGCAAAAGGTATACTTGTTCTTTATTTTCAGTGGCTTTAAGACTTTGGCCAGCAATGTATGTGTAAAGCATACACACACATATTAACTATATATATATATATATATATATATATATATATATAAAAATTATATGTGTTTAGGCAGCAAATTTTCTTTTTTAGGCATGTCTGATTGAGTAAATTACAGACATTATGTCTGCTAAATTTTAACAAAATCTGTTCATACTCACAAATAACCTTCTGTGTATTGATATTAAAGGATGAAAGAAATGTACTATAACTGTTTAAATTTCTTTTATTTTAATTTCCCAAGTACTTTCGATCTTCCAAGTCCATCTTCAGGGATGTGAATAGTACAACACTATATGTTGTTCATTAGTACAAGTATTTATACAAAGCTGTGCATTGTTATCCATTACCGTAATTTTTCATTATGTTCTTAAATGCAAAATGGTTGACAATATTCTGAGTGTTCATTAGAATGTGAAAAAATTATCCATTATGGAATTTTTTCCTCTGTTATAGTGTTGTGGTCATGTGTGCATTAAAGCATGAAAAACTGTTTCTTTACAGGCATTTCAGAACATTACTGCAGTATTCATAATTGATTCTGTTCACTGCCAGCTTTTAATTTTTTAATATCAATACATGGAAGGTTATTCATGAGTATGAATGGATTTTGTTAAAAATTAACAGACATAATGTTTGTAATCTACTCAATCAGATATACAAGCACACACACACACACACACACAAGGAAAAGTACTCAGCCTAACCAGAGGACCCTTAAAAAAAATTCTTATGTTTAGGGAAATAGGTTATCTTAAAAGCTTATCAGCTCCACCACACTTGTAGTCACAACTAGAGGGACTGTTGTCTAGTTAACAATAAATATCTAAATTTAGAACCAAGGGACAATGTTGTTAATTTTTTTTCTCTGTCAATCACAATCTTTGTGCTTGATCATAATAAAATGTTATTGAAACACAACTTTTAAATTTATCATTGAATATAGTCACACACACACACACACATATATATATATATATATATATATATATATATATATATATATATTACAATGGATAAAATGTCATATAAATTGCACAAAAATAAAAATAACACTGACATCTCATTTTAACAGATTTACTAAAATTACACTAAAATATCTTGAAATACTAAAGACTAAAATTTATTCAATAAAATCACCATTGGATTCAACCACCATTCCATGTAACTTTGGAATTTCCTGCAACTCTTCTTGTTTAAGTTGGTGAATGCCACCATAATCCTTGCCTTCAGTCCATCTTTGGTGCTACAAAGAGCTATTTTGGGCTTTCACTTGACTGCACCTCCACCCAATAATAATTAAGGGGGTTGCAGTCTGGGAAGTTAGGTGAGCAGATGTAAGAGGTGATGTGGTTGCAGAAATTATCTGACAACCATGACTGGGTTCTCCTGCTTGTGTGGAATGGTGCAGAGTCCTGTGGCCAGACATTGGGTCTTCCAGCAGTCACCCTCTTGACCCAGGGCAGCACTACAGACTCAACATGGAGGCCTACATAAAGTGAATTCACTTTATGTAGGCCTCCATGTTGAGTCTGTGAGGCCCTGTGGGCAGATGAATAGAGGCACAATGTTGCCATCACTCAAAACAACCTTCATAATCACCATTAAACTCATCCAACTCTTTCCAATTTCTTTGCACTGGTCTCAGATTGACACCCAAACACACTGAAATGTTTTTATTGGAGCTTCCCACTCAAATCATTTCCAAATTTCTGGCAGACTCAATTGTGTCATGGTGCTCTTTTTCTCAAAGATGGTGCCCAACTGACCCTACTATACTGTGCAGTCAATAAAATAAAAAACAAACAATGCACATGCATGAAATTAAAAATATAAAATGGCGACAATTTACTGATCACACCCTGTATATATGAATAAATACAAAAGGAAAACTTATCCTAGCTGACACGCTTTGCTCTCTGATAGACTTTATCTAAGGCATATGAAGGGATTTTATTTTGCAACAAGTACTTATAAACAAAAGTAAAAATATTAGTTTTTCAAAATTTAAGAATGCCCATAAATATCAGGTTAACTGAAAAGTCTACGTAAATTATGAAGGATGGTAGGTGATGTAAATTAGTACAGTGTAACCCGGATATAAGAGACCTGGATATAAGAGAGATTTTCTCTGGTCCCAAAGTGTTCCCATACTTACCTAAACAAAATAGACCAAACCCGGATATAAGAGAAACCCGGATATAAGAGACTTCTTCTCCGGTCCCGACAACTCTCTTATATCCAGGTTACACTGTATCTAA